AATCACTTGAACCTGGGAAACAGAGGTTGCAGTGAGCCGAGATCGCGTCACTGAACTCCAGCCGAGGTAACAGAGTGAGACTTCATTTCAAAACAAAACAAAACAAAACAAAATCCCCCATGTTGGAGATGGGGCCTGGTGGGTGGTGATTAAATCATGGGAGCAGATTTCTTCTTGGCACTGTTCTCATGATAGTAAGTGAATTCTCACGATATCTGGTTGTTTAAAAGTGTGTGGCACCTCCCCTTCTCTCTTCCTGTAACTCCAGCCATGTGAAGGGCTGCCTCCCCCTTCACCTTCTATCATGATTGTAAGTTCCCTGAGGCCTTCCCAAAAGCTGATGCCACCATGCTTTCTGTACAGCCTGTGGATCCATAAGCCAATTAAACCTCTATTCTTTGTAAATTACCCAGTCTCAGTTTTTTAGAACAATGAGAGAATGCACTAATACAATCATGGAAGAGACAAAACCACGAGAGATCCTCTATATCACTCACCATGTTTTGTAGCACACTGCATACTTTTATCATATCAGTTATTGCTCTGTACTGTAACATGGAGTTTGCCTATCTGTTTGATTCATGGTGTTTTAGGTCAAGGTATGGTATGGATTTCTAGTGTGCATTAATATCCAATGGAGTTTTCTCCCCCCTTCAGGTACACAGGATAATTATACTTCCCTTTATAATTAGGCTGCAGATGGTGCCACAGTTATGGCTAATTGGTTTAAAAAAATCAGTTCCAGTCTTTTCTTCCCCTGACAGGTTATCATATATACACATTCTAAATGGTGTAGCTTCAAGAGAGTGAAAAGTCTATCAGCCTCTGTCCCTGGGTGATTGTGCAGAGCCTCCGAAATTTGCCAGCCTCTGTAACTGCAGCATAGCCCAACCTACTAGGATGAATTAAAAAAAAAAAAAAAAAAAAAATTAACCTTACTTTGATTGTAGATGTGGAAACAGTAAAATAAAAGAAAACATTTTAATATAGCTGGGAAGGATGGTAACCATATTATACAATGACAAGACATTTGGAATAACTGTCATGTTTCACAAATTATTCATTAGAACATAGAACAAATGAACTTGTAGACAAAAAGAAGTTAGAAAGCAAAGTAGAAAATGAAAATGTTATTAGGTTGGTGCAAAAGTAATTGTGTTTTTTGCAACAATTTCATTGCAAAAATCTCAATTACTTTTGCGTCAACCTAATGGTAATTGTGTTAGTTGTTATTTGTTGTGTTTGGCATAGTATTACAAGCAAAAGAAGAACTCTGAAAATAATTGGTTAGTTTCAAAGCAAATAATAATAATAATGGAAATAGAAAAGTCCAGAAATTCCAGTGTTTAAAAGACTACTTCTGAGCTCCAAATATAAAAGGCAAGAGTGATAAGACTTTAAGGAATGAATGCCCAATAAAACTTTTAATCTGATTTAAATTTCCTCTGGGAAAAGTTTGCTTAAGAGTGTGGCACCTAGTAAAACCTTTTAATTTAATAAAGTAACTCAGAACAAAAATCCCATTAAGTTTGTGGCCTTCCAAGAGACCATACTAACAGCCTCATCTCAAGGCAGTCTCCATTAAATTGAGGGAGAGAAGGGAGGTTCACAAAGTCTCTCTCTCTCTCTCTCTCTATATATATATATATGTGTGATATATATATGCTATATTATATATCATAAAACTAAATATAAATATGTAATATATAAATATATAACAAATAATAAAATGAAAACATACAGCATAGTGTAATCCATAATATTTTTATAATTTATATAATGTTTGAGAATATAACTTGAAAAGAACTGGTGCTTTAGCTGCTGATTTTTTTGCCATAAGAATATGTTTATTTTACAAGTGATTTTAATTCTTTAGCCACAATGTCCCTATATTTTTACATTACCCCGTATTTTTCTATACTATTTATACATTAGATACAGAATTTGTTAGAAGTTAAAAGGAAAAAACACATTCTTTTGCTGAGCAATAGCTCATTATATTTAACTTAAAAAATTATTAGCTTGTTGAATATCAAAACTTGAAGCTGCTGGGAATCACATTTATTTTTAGGTTCCAAAATAGTTCTGAGTCCTCAATAGGAAAGCCTCTTTTATAAACTATAACAAAACTCTCATCTGAAAATTAAATACTATAAAATTGACACAACTATATCTATATTGAATGTCTTTATAATATCCAGAAACCTTCTGGGTTTTTAGAAATGACAATGAAAATAGATTTACATTCTGGCTTTATAAATCAATTTTTATTTTAGAAAATTTTGAACATATAGAGAATACTATATACAACACCACATATTCAACATCTTTAATATCATTTAGCCAATAATGTTCTAGTATATATCTCTAAAATTCACACCTAAAGAAAACACAGAAAACATGTTTATCACATATTAACATTTAATAATAATGTCTACAGTAAAGTATCACTGAGCCTATTTCTCCAATTTCTTCATGAACATTTATTACAAACTTTTTTCAAATCAGAATCCAAAGAGGATCTGCACATGCCATATTCCTGGAGTGTTTCCTAAGTGTATTTTACTCTATATGTTCACTGTATTTGTGGGAAAAGGCCACTGGTAGTCATGAGATCAGCAGGGATCAGCATCATCTGGGAACATCACCTGGGAACTTAAATTGAACTTAAACTTAGAAATGTAAGTTCTCAAGGAACGCCCCAAACCTACTGAACCTGAAACTCTAGAGTTAAGAGCCCAACAATCTGCTGATGCACGCTAAAGTTTAAAACCTACTACTATAGTTCTACACACTCAAGATTTCATAGATTGTATTTTCATGATACTATTTAATATGTTGATCTATCTCCCGTATGTCATACAGATTGTGGTTCTCAGGTACAGTTGTTTGGGAATGAAAATTCACATATAGTGGGCTTCTTTAACTTTCCATAGAATCATATACAAAGATTCATAATGTCCCGTTGTCTCCTTTTACAGTGATAAAAAGTTTGATCAGTAAGTCAAGCGTGTCAGCTTCATTCATCAATTCATTATTAAATTATCCATCAGCTTTTCACATAATAGTTTCAGCATTCATTTACGATCATTTCTCAAATCTGTGATTTCACTAGACTTTGCAAAATGGGAATATACTAATTCTTTCAATTTGTTATTTGTTAGCAAAAGTAATTTTTAAAAACTTTTTGCACTATTTGGCTACCCTGAGTACAATTTGCACAAGAGAAGCAAGAAAACTGCCTGACTCTTTCCTTCATTTGCCAGTTTCCAAAACTAGTTCCACAGAAACCTGCAAACTGAAGTTGTTTTTTTTAACTCAACATAATTAATTCATGAATTTGCAATGTGTTTCTATCCACTGTAGTTATTACTACTTTTGATGCTCATATTATCTGAACTTTGGCTAGCAGGAAACTCTTTAGGCATCTGAATCCTTTTAACATGATGCAAATCATTTCTTTTTATAGCTTCCCTGTTTTCTGGCATGACAACATGCTCCAGGCTCATTTTGCACATTTTGTTTACCACTCCCCCCTTTTTTAAATTATTATTTCTCCAAGAATCTCTGGTTGCCTTAATTGGAAAAATCATAGAGTTCATCATTGCAAATTTAGGACAACTCATCACATATATGTTTGTCTTTTTTTTTTTTGAGTGCAAATCAAGAAAACAGATTTACAGATTTTAGAATTTATATCATAAATTCTTACTGATATTTTCCCTTTAAAATTAGTTCAGAGTATTAAGTATCTGTTTAATTATACTGAAAGTCTTAGCTTCCAATGACATTAACACAAATATTTATTTGCTTTCTCTGGCAATATCTACACAAATCTTCAGAATAAAATGATCAATATGGTTAGTAAAAATATAATCATAAGTCAGTTTAATGTTTCTTTGCATTTTTTTTCGTCCTTAGGCTAATCCCTACTAAGGATGCGTAGTTAACTCATTTTAAAGTCATTTGAAATAATTATGTGTGAGTGTAGGCCTCTGACAAGATACACAGTTCAGATGGTATAATTTTTGTTTTTTTATTTTTAAGTATTGATTTTTCATTTTGATTTCATTTTGTTTATAATATGTAAGACAGTTATATACTACCAAAGTCAAATTTATAAGCATGGTAATCTGTCTTCCATTTCCTTCCACTACACCCTGTCCCTACCACTTTTTATTTAGGTGAACATTTTGCTAATTTGTTTTAGTATTACCTTATTTTTTTGTAAAGAAAAAAATAAATATGTATAGATATAGATATATCAATTTTTCTTATTTAAGTGCAAGTTAGCGTACCATACAAATTGTTATATATGTGCCCTTTCTCACTTCATAATATGTTTTGGATGTCATTCCATAATAGCATACAGAGGTCTTCCTTATTTCTTTTTACACTTGTACAGTATTTAATTGGCTGCTCAATCATTTTCTTAAACAGTCCCCTATTACTGGACATTCAGATTGTTTCCAGTTGTTTGCAATGACAAAACCAGTGCTGTAAGAAATAATTATGTGGATACATATTTTTATATATATACTTTTTTAATTTGTAAAGAACAGAAATGTATTTCTTACAGTTCTGGAGGATGGGAAGTCTAAGATCAAGGAGCTGGCACTTGTTGACTAGGGCTTAATTGCTGTGTTCTCACATACAGAAGGCAAACTAGCAGGATGCTCCCTGAAGCCTCTTTTATTAAGGGCCTTCATCCCAGTCCTGAGAGAATCCCTCATGGCCTAGTGATCTCTTAAAGGGCCCACCTCTTGATGCTGTCACATTGGCAATACTTGAATTTGAGGGGACACATTCAAGCCATAGCAAACTGAACATTTCTCCCATGTCAGATAGCACCATGTTCTTTGTCAGTAGGTATTGGTAGAGGGGCACTGCAGAATAAAGGGGCTTCTCTTGCTTCTAAGATGATACTGTGACAGTTAATTTTATGTGTCAACTTGACTGGGCCACAGGGTGCCTAGCTACTGGGTCATACTTTTTTTTTAAGAGATTTAACTTCTGCTCTGATTTTCCAATCATAAGGTCAAACATTATGCTAGGTGTTTCTGTGAGGGTGTTTTTACATGAGATTGACATTTAAATCAGTGAACTTTGAGTAATGCAGACTGCCCTCCTCAATGTTAGTAGGCTTGATCCAGTCAGGTGAAGGTCTGAAGAGAAGAAACGACTGTCCTCTTCCAAGAACAAGAGAATCCTCCAACAGATACCTTTGGACTGGACCTGCACCATCAGCTTTCCTGGGTCTCCAGCCTCCTGCCTCACACTCCAGCTTCTGGACTTGTTAGACATAATAATAATCACACAAGCCAATCCTTTTAAGGGAGTTTGTCTGGAGAATCTTGACAAACACAAACATCTACTGAGAGTTCCTGTCCAAGTTTTGCTCACACCGTAGCAAGAGGCTTCTGGCTTACCAGTAGAAGGTGTGAGGTTCTTTGCTTGTAAGACTGATCCACCAGCTGTACACCAGCTCTGGCCCGAGGCGAAACAGGGAATTTCCCCATCACTGAGTAGGCTATAGCCACTCTCTCTCCATCAGGCCTGACTTCACTATGGGTAACGGGAGCCCCTTTCAAGGTTATTCTTAACTTGGGTACTCTCAGTCCTAGAACATCGTAGCTCTCTTTCATCCCTCTTAAAAGCTAATACCATTATCAGTTAACAGTTTTTTATGTTAAAATTATCCCTGTTCAAGTTAATGGTATGGTTTCTGTCTCCTGACTAGATATCAGGATCCAGTATTTACTGTCATATTTCTACTACTTTATGTTTAAAGTTTTCCATAATATTTAAACTGAATTTTTGATCATTCATTAAATACTTACACAGAACAGGACAAAGGATGATTTTCCTTTGTCTACTTATTGTAAGGAAGTGTCCAAGATTTATCACTACATCGTGATTACTGGTGGTCACCAACTTATGATGGTTTTAGGATTTTTTGACTTTATGATGGGTTTACAGGGATGCAGCCCCATTTCAAGCTGAGGAGCTCCTTAGGACTTACAAATTATGCCTCTTTCATACCACGGTAAAATTGGAAAATTGTTACATCAAGCTGTCATTAAGTAGGAGCCTGCTGTGTCGCTAACGTTATATGCATTTTTAACTTATGATGGGTTTACTGGGAATTAACCACAATGTAAATCGAGGACCATCTGTATATTGTATGATTTTTGCTAATGCATTGAGAGAGATCTGTGTAAATTATCTATGACTTCAAAATATGCATATTACCTCCAACTGTGTTAACTCATGTTTTTTAAGCGAATAAGGGTATTTTCACCCTATGTGGATGTGCTGTAGAATTTTTCTAAGCTACAAAAGTCTATAAATAACAAATCAACTTAAACTTTTTGGGAAATAATTTCTACTAAAGATTCATAATCGGCGTATTCCTTCAATGACTGTACAAGTTCATCCAGTGGATAATCTCCTTGCATAAAAGTTTCAAGATCATGCAGTGTCTTGCTTATTCTGTGATCTGTGACCCGGTTCTGTGGAAAATTATATGTTCTTATTTTCTCTGATCTTCCTTTACTTCCAATCTGAATTTTTCTAGCATTCTGTCTTTTATTTGTTTCTTTTTCTAGATGCATGCTGTACAGTTTGGCACGTAACTTTGTCATAGCCAGCTCTCTATTTTTCAGTTGAGATCTCTCTTGTTGACATTTAGAAACAACACTTGTTGGAAGATGAACTATCCGGACAGCACTGTCTGTGGTATTTACATGCTGCCCCCCAGCTCCACTGGCTCGCTTAGTGTCAATTCTCAAATCTTTCGGATTAATCACGAGATTAATCTCAGTAGGCTGGGGTAATATCGCTACAGTCATGGTGCTAGTATGGATGTGGCCTTGCTTTTGTGTCTTTGGCACTCTTTGTACTCTGTGCACACCTCCTTCAAATTTCATGTGCCTATAGGCTTCTGAACCCCCAATACTGGCAGATGCATGTCTAAGGCCACCTATTTCACTTGGAAAATACTCCAGGGTTTCGAAATGCCGTCTTTTAAATGCAGCATATTGTTGATACATATCAAATATCTCTGAAGTAAACAACATTGCCTCCTGACCTCCAACCCCTGCAGTTCATTTTCATCTGTTTCTTCTGAGGGAACCAAAAGTAAGATAATCTGATGCTTCAGCTGAGTTATTTCTTTTTGACACAGAGTTATTTCATTCTCTGCAAGTTTCCTTAAATCTTCATTCTCATCGTGCAGCAAGGGCTCGGTCTCCCGCAGCTCCTGCTCCTTCTGGTTCAGCAGTTTGATCACTGCCGCCAACTCCGGCCTCCTGACCTTCAAATGGGCTTCAGACCCCGCCTGGCACTGGAGGAAGGTCCGCAAGGGCCCGCCCTGGGCGAACAGCTCCTGCAGCGGCGGGCTACTGGAGCTCAGGGGTCGGCGGGCTGGGCCAATGGCCCCGCGGGGCCAGAGCCACCGGGCAGCGCCCCACAGAAGCCGAGACTGCCCATATTTTTATATTTTTTTGCTAGATGACTTTGAGATGGATTCTTAGAAGTGGACTCTGAGTCAAAAGTAAATAAATGTGTTTGGCCATTGTGATGGTTAATATTGAGTGTCAACTTGATTGGACTGAAGGATGCAAAGTATTGTTTCCGGGTGTTGCCAGGATAAATTAACATTTGCATCAGTGGGCTGGGAGAGCAAGACTTACTCTTAGGAAGACACACCCACAATGTAGGTGGGCACCATTCAATTGCCTGCCAGTGTGGCTAGAAAAATCAGAAGAAGGTGGAAGAAGCTGACTTGCTGAGTCTCCCAGCCTTCATCTTTCTTTTGTGTTGGATGCTTCCCACCCTTAAACATGAGAGTCCAAGTTAGTTGGCTTTTGGACTCGTGAACTTATACTAGCGTCTTGCCAGGGGCTCTCGGACCTTCAGACATAGACTGAAGGCTGCAATGTTAGCTTCCCAACTTTTGAGATTTCTGGGACTTGGACTTGGCCACTACTGGCTTCCTTGCTGCTCAACTTGCAGATAGCCTATTGTGGGACTTCACCTTGTTACTGTATGAGTCATGTCTCCTAATAAACTCCCTTTCATATATACATATATCCTATTAGTTCTATCCCTCTAGACAACCCTATCACAGCCATCCCACAAAAATGTGATGGACCCTCACCCAAAATTTGGTTTGGATATCAAGGCTGATGGTGCCACATACGCACCAAGATGGTATAAAAAGTTCTATTAATCACACAATGAGTTTTTCTGACAAGAACAGGGCAACGTCTCAAACATAAATAAGGATGGCTTGAGAAACTGGAGGAAGGAGACTAGTTTGTTTTTTATGGTAGCTGGGAGTGGGGTTAGGGTAAGAATTATTGCGTAGGGGCTAGCACTTGTGTGTTTTGAACTTCCTACTGATATCAAAGGTAAGAGCACACAGGCTTCCTCATCACTTTGCCCAGATGTGTGTGGAAGGGCAAGTGGGAGTGGTGAGGCTTAAAAGTTGTCTGCTGTACATTACAAAAAATTGAGTCAGACTCTTTTTGTTACATCTTGACAAATTTTACTCCAAAGTGGTGTACCCTTTTGTAGTTCGGATTGTCTATTTTTTCCATAGCTTTGCCAAACAAACAAACAAACAAACAAAACTCTGTGGTCAGGCTTTTGAATTGTTAACAATCTGGTAAGTGAGAAATGGAATGACCATGTAATTTTAATGTTAATGTATTCTGTGAGGTTGTATACATTTTTATATGTTTAAGCTGTGGCTAATGTGCTCTTATCTTATGCCTATTTTCTATAAGGCTATTGCTGTTTTCTTCTCTTGTTTTACAAACTCTTTGTATATTACTGACACTATTTTTCTGTTATATAACTTACATAATTTTTTCTTTTTTTTTTTTTTTTTTGCTGATGGTGTTTTCTTTCTGACAAAAGATTTTTTAATTAAATGTTATCAAATGTATTACTATTTTCTCTTACAGAATCTGAATTTTGGTCTCTATTAAGAAAATAACTCTTCTAAATTTGCATCTTAGATTATTATACATTTTTCTGTACTTTATTCATCCATTAGGAATTCTATATTGTCTCTATTAATCTCCTCCTAGTCATATCTATGTCTTTTAACACTGTTTAAATAAAATAACACATAAAACTAAAAGTGGAATTGTCCAGTCTTCATAATAAAATCCATCAATTACTTTGGTAAAATGGGTCTAGAAATCAGATAGAGCTCAGCAAAACTGATTAATCATGCCCATGTGACTCATTGTATGTTAAACCTAATGGTTTATTTAACTGACAGCTAGTGTCTCCTTTTAGGATGATTTGAACAGTAATTTAGCGTAATTTGAGTTGATAAAGTACTGATGATATAACACAAAGATCTGTGTTCATCAATTGGTAGCTATATTTAAGGAAAGATGATTTTCTGGCATTCCCAAATTCTGTACTTTCGAGGTATTCTGTTGCCTAAAGTGAATGTGGTATAAAGAAGCTGTCATTAAATCCTAATGGTTCAAGGAAACCCAATCTTATATAACTTGCCAAAGAATACACAGCCAAATAGTATTCAATCTCTGAGGGAAAACAGCTGTGTTTTGACGTTTTGCATATACTTTTAAAGTAAAACAAAAAATATTTGCTTAAACTGTCCTTTTAGATGCTCAGAGTACTTATTGTTTCAAAAGTTTTTTTTTTCTAAAACAGGATGCAGTATGTTCTTTTGCTTTAAAGCAGGTATGCAGTAATTTTGACATGGTATTATAAAAATCTACTTTTGAGTCACCTAGCTTCAGAAATCACCTAAACAGTTTACATCTGAAAAACACACTTACACAACTTAACTGTTACATTACAACAAACCTCTTCTACTAGCATTCTCTTTTAAGAGCAAGAAAAAAAAGGAAGTTTGGCAACGTGATTTAACAGCTGCATATAGTATTTATGCTAAAGAAATCACATAGCAGATTTTCAATTACCCGCAGAAGGAGGTCCAAGGAGAGCACACAATTAAGCTACACAGATAATCATCTCAACCATGAGTTTCAACCATCTGAGCTGTTAGTAATTGGCCAATTTTTATTTCACTACTACCCTGGCTGTTCTCCCCAGGAACATTACAAGAGATATTCAATAATGAGGAACAACTGTGAATTATTAATAACTTGAAATATTCCATATACTGAATGAATGAATATTGCATATGAATTTTTCTTAAATGAGAAACATGATATATCAATGAACAACAAGAGATAGAAATTGTTGATAGGACAAAGTTAATATAAACACTTGGCTTGAAGAATAGAAAGGAGCTTATGTGGGACGGAGCAGCATACTCAAGGGACAAATAGCTAAACATTCCCATAGTTTCTTCCACAATAAAATAATGCAATCTTTTCATGAACACACTGTATTTTCTATGTTTCTATACCCTGAAAGCATTATATGAAGTGGTCATTGACATATGAAGACTCAGAAATAATCATGTGACTATTATAATTTATAGCAAATGTTGAATGGACAGTTTTTAAAAATTTTGTAGTGTTTCTGTGATCCATAATACATGGCTATCTTGAAAGTTAGCGATTACTTCTTGCACTTTTTTCCTGCTTGTGAAAACTTCAAATTGATTCTTTTTCTAATATTTAGTTCATCCTCCAAATAATTACTTAACTTTTATCAGCAGCATCTTTTTATTTTAATTGGATCATGATACTATGCCAAAGAGTGATTTAAAAATCTTTCAGTGTCAGAAATGTAGTAAGGAGTGGTGGAAATTATGCTAAACTATATTTTACTACAAAGATCATGGTTTCATTTCCAAAATGCCACTGCTGCTCTGTTGCAGTTAATTATTTCCATTAAAAAATGTAAGGTCAAGTTTTGATTTGTGTCAAGCTTTAGAATTGTTAATAATCTGATAACTGAGAAATGGAATCACCATGTAATTTCAATGTTAATATATTTTGTGAGGTTGTATACATTTTCATATGTTTAGCTATGGCTAATATGCTCTTATCTTACGCCTATTTTCCTATAAGACTGTTGCTATTTCTTCTCTTTTTTTTAACAAGCTCTTTGTATATTATTGATATTAACTATTTTTCTGTTATGTAACTTATATGATTTTTAATTTTTTTTTTTTTTTTTGCTGATGATGTTTTCTTTCTGACAAAAGATTTTTTAAATGTTATCAAATTTATTAGTATTTTCCCTTACAGTATCTGAATTTTAAGAAGAAAATAGTCATTTCTCACAGGTAATAGATTAAAGCATCCTTGCCTTCTACTACTGGTATTGTGTTTCATTTAACTTTTCAATCTTTTCAACCTCTGATCTACTTGAAACACATCAGGGTGTATGGTGTGAGGAACAGATCAAATTTTGACTTTTGTGTTTTGCTGTTGTGTAGTTCCAACACCACTAATTTAAAAAGCCCATCTTTTCTCCCAACTGTTGTGAGATGTCATATTTGTCATATATAACTTTTTTTTATTTCTTGACTTTTTTTTCTGGTCCACTGATTCATGTATCTATGTATATGCAAATACTCTACTGATTTAATAAAATAAACATGATAATATATTTTGTCATTTGGTAGGATTTACCCTCCTATCAACATTGCTATTTTTCAAGATCCTCCTAAGTATTCTTACTTGTTGGTTTTACCAAATGAATCCTAAAACCTAGGTTCATAAAAATGCTTGATGGTATTTTTATTGGAATAGTCTTACTTACATTTAGGTAACTCAAGGAAAACTGACATAATAATGTTGATTCTTTATTTTCAAGACCACAGCATTCTACTAATTTTGTACTACTAAAGATATCAGAACTGCTTTTGTAAAAATTATAACCGAGACAATTTTTACAGTGAAAGAGGTATGACCTGACTGACTCCACTTTGCTTCGAACCTCAAAGTTGTCGTAGGCCAAACTATCTTTGGGAGAAACTTAGTTTATGGTTTAGCTTTGAAACAAACACAATAGTAGCCCTTTTCCAAAACAGATTCCCTTCCTGCCTGGGTACTACACTGCCTTTGCAAGACTAACAAATTAGTCACAAAATTAGAAATTATGGTTTAGGAATCATGCAGCTGGAGGCTGCAAGATTCTTAACCTCCCCAGATTGCTCCTGGAGATAACATCACTATTGTGAAATGTAAGATCACTGCTTGATGTATTTTGCAGACGTTGCATTCAATGTACCAGCAAACACTATCCAGATTAATCAACTAGCTTGTCTGGTCTTGTGGCCACTCGTCCAGGAACTGACTCAGGTCAAGAGGACAGCTTCGACTCCCTAAGATTTCATCTCCAACCTGACAGTCAGAACTCCCGTCAAATTATCTTCAAAAATTCCAGTCCCTGAATTCTCAGGGAGACTGGTTTCAGTAATAATAAAACTTCGGTTTCCTACACAGCTGGCTCTATGTGAATTACTCTTTCTCTCTTGCAGCTCCCCTGTCTTAATATAACAGCTCCGTCTAGACAGTGGGCAAGGTGAATCTGTTGCGTGGTTACAAGACTATTACAGTAAGTCCTCACTTTATGTCTTTGATAGGTCCATGGAAACAGCTACATTAAATGAAACAATGTATATAACAAAACCATTTTTTTCTCTTCACCATTATGTTATTCAAGGACCTGCTGTATGTTGTTTCACTTAATGTTGCAGTTTCCAAGAACCTATCTATGATATTGACAACATATATTACCTATAAAGCATGGAGTTAAACATGAATAGTGTGTGTTCTACATGAGAGAAGGAGAAAGAACCACACATTTGGTAACAACAAGAGGGCAATCCTGCATGAACTTCTGTGGCCACGTTTATTCCGTTTTCCTCTATTTCTGGGAACACAGGGGAATCGTTTTTCCATCTCTTGCAGTTTAGTGGGGTTATCTGCTATGATGACATATGCATGTATTTTGACTAATACATAGGAACTGTATATTTTCTTTTTATAAACCTAGTGCCCTGTACATTGTATAGACAATTAGAAAATAGGTATTAAAAGAATAAAAGTAATCATAGTAGAAATTCCAGCAGTATTATCCCATGGCCTCACATAATTTTTCCATTGTAAATATAGCTAAGCATGCAAAGTTGTATTATGTATTAGTTTCTCATTAACCTACAATTTTCTTAACACTTCTAAATTTGAATCTGAGATTATTATACATTTTTCTGTACTTTATTCATCCATTAAGAATTCTATATTGTCTCTATTAACCTTCTCCTAGTTATATCTATGCATTTTAACACTGTTTAAATAAAATAACACATAAAACTAAAAGTGGAGTTGTCCAGTCTTCATAATAAAATCCACCAATTACTTTGGCAAAATGGCTGTAGAAATCAGATAGAGCTCAGCAATAAGACGAAAACTGATTAATCGTGCCCATGTGACTCATTGTACGTTAAACCTAATGGTTTATTTAATTGACAGCTAGTGTCTCCTTTTAGGATGATTTGAACAGTAATTTAGTGTAATTTGAGTTTGATAAAGTACTGATGATATAACAGAAAGATCTGGGTTCATCAATTGGTAGCTATATTTAAGGAAAGATGATTTCCTGGCATTCCCAAATTCTGTACTTTCGAGGGATTTTGTTCCCTAAAGTGAATGTGGTATAAAGAAGCTGTCATTAAATCCTAATGGTTCAAGGAAACCCAAACTTATATAACTTGCCAAGGAATACACAGCCAAATAGTATTCAATCTCTGAGGAAAAGCAGCTGTGTTTTGACGTTTTGCATAAATTTTTAAAGTAAAAAAAAATTTGCTTAAACTGTCCTTTTAGATGCTCAGAGTACTTATTGTTTCAAAAGTTTTTTTCTAAAACAAGATGCAGTATGTTCTTTTGCTTTAAAGCAGGTATGCAGTAATTTTGACATGGTATTATAAAAATCTACTTTTGAGTCACCTAGTTTCAGAAATCACCTAAACAGTTTACATCTGAAAAACACACTTAAACAACCGAACTGAGTTACATTACAACAAACCTCTTCTACTAGCATTCCCTTTTAAGAGCAAGAAACAAAAAATGAAGTTTGGCAACATGATTTAACAGCTGAATATAGTATTTATGCTAAAGAAATCACATAGCAGATTTTCGATTACCTACAGAAGGAGGTCCAAGGAGAGCACACAATTAAGCTACACAGATAATCATCTCAACCATGAGTTTCAACCATCTGAGCTGTTAGTAATTAGCCAATTTTTATTTCACTACTACCCTGGCTGTTCACCCCAGGAACATTACAAGAGATATTCAATGATAAGGAACAATAATAACATGAAATATTCCATATACTGAATGAATACTGCATATTAATTCTTCTCGAATGAGAAACATGATGTATCAATGAACAACAAGAGATAGAAATTGTTGATAGGACAAAGTTAATATAAACACTTGGCTTGAAGGATAGAAAGGAGCTTATGTGGGACGGAGCAGCATACTCAAGGGACAAATAGCTAAACATTCCCATAGTTTCTTCCACAATAAAATAATGCAATCTTTTCATGAACACACTGTATTTTCTATGTTTCAATAGCCTGAAAGCATTATATGAAATGGTCATTGATGTATGAAGACTCAGAAATAATCATGTGACTATTATAATTTATAGCAAATGTTGAATGGACAGTTTTTAAAAATTTTGTAGTGCTTTTGTGATCCATAATATATTGCGATCTTGAAAGTTAGCAATTACTTCTTGCACTTTTTTCCTGCTTGTGAAAACTTCAAATTGATTTTTTTCCTAATATTTAGTTCATCCTCCAAATAATTACTTAACTTTTATCAGCAGCATCTTTTTATTTTAATTGGTTCATGATACTATGCCGAAAAGTGATTTAAAAATCTTTCAGTGTCAGAAATGTAATAAGGAGTGGTGGAAATAACGCTAAACTATATTTTACTACAAAGATCATGGTTTCATTTCCAAAATGCCACTGCTGCTCTGCTGCAGTTAATTATTTCCATTCGAAAATACAAGGCCACGATTACCAGGTCTTCCATTATTTCTAAAAGAAACCACTAACAGCATGATTTTAATGGTTACAAAGATTAACATTTTTATCATCTTTGTGTTCTTTACACTTAAGGAACAAAATTGCATAGTACAGACAATCTATCCCTTAAATTTGTGTGGACACATTGTTTCATACTTTGGTTCAATAACTAATTACATATTTTAACTTGCCCTTTCTCATTGTTAATGCACATGCTTACCACAAAGACAATACCCATTTACTAAGAAAATTTTGTTTGATGCAATAATACCAGTTACCTTGCTTTGATATACAACTTCTCATTGTTCTGCTATACTCTTTTTTTTTTTCATCGTACCCACAAAACTGGAAACATTTCTCAACAGTTTCCATTAAAAAAAAAGAAAAAGAAATAATTAGCTCATATTTATATGAAATAGATAATTCATAAATTCTATAGAACACTCAGGACAAACCCTATGAAGATAGCAGAAGAAGCAAGCATAAAATAAGTACAATCTCTCAAGGATATATTGATTCCCTCATAGCTTAGCTTGCACACAGGCTAATGATGACAATATTGTGGCATGAAACCTAAGAGTGTATGTGGGTGTGGGGGTATATGTGTGTGTTAGAGAGAGCCTGCCTTTTAAATCTACAACAGATAAGTCCAAAAGGTTTACCTTTTACATGCACACACATACTTATCACACACTTACCATCTTAGGACCTTTTAATATCTGTTTATAAAAATGTCTCAGGAGAATGTTAAAGAGTACATTGATTTTCATTTAGGTCCTTTTTTTTTTTCTAACTACATGCTATAGAAGTGTCTGTTGTGAAGTATTTCAGAGAAAATATAACAAATTTTATTTGAATATTTGCTTTATAAAACCAGCTGCATGTGCTATAGATTAGGAAGAGATTGCCTAGGTAAACTTCTGTAGTTCAAATCTTGACGAAAACTAAAGGTTAAACGCTGAGGAGGCATTTCAATTCTAGTGACTCCGTGAGTTCTCTTTAAAATACTTGCACATGCACACCATAAATATGATAGAGAATGTATTTTAACATATTAAGAAGACATAGGAATGTTTAATATTAATTTATAACCCCATGGAACAGAAATAGCCATAATGTCCTGCCCTACCTCACCCACGTGGAGTAAATAGTAGGGGTTGATGCTACTGGCTAACTGAATGCTAAGACTGGAAAAAAGCAAAAGAGTCTGAAAAGTAAAATATCAAGTGTTAATTTGGATCCAAATCCTGCCACACTTTTTACGAGACAAAATCAGACTCATTGTTTGAGACATAGTTACATATTAGATGCTCGTTGTTAAGCACATACATATTAAGAATTGTTATATCTTCTTGGAGAATTGATTATTTTATCATTATGTAATGCCCTTCTTTACTTTCGAGATTTTTTCTTACTCTCAAATCCGCTTTGTCTGAAATTAATATAGTTACTGCAGCTTTCTTCTTGTTCGTGTTGTTAGCATGGCATATGTTTCTCCATCACTTTACTTTTATGGATCATAATTTTCTGCTTCTTTGCATATTTAATAATTTACTGTATGGTAGATATCTGTGAATATTATGGTGTTGAATGTCTAAATTTGTTGTCCTACATTAACTAGATTTGAATTATGTTTAGACAAACAGTTAAGTTACTTACAGATCAGTTTAATTCTTCTCTACTGAAAAATCTATCATACAAAGAGTTTTTTCAACCTGATTGGCCAGGATTTAAATGTTTCCCCACCCTGTGTAATTTCTGGGAATGATTCAAGTCAGGACTTTCCAGTTATGTCTTACCTCGTGGAATTTCATCTTATGCATGCACAGCTTTTTATGGAGCAAAAAGTTCAAAGGCTTTTCTATGCAGATTTGTGAAGCTCTTCCTCCATGCTATTTTATCAACTCTGGTACTCTATTCCACAAATTCCAAAGTTTAGCCATCTAAACTTTCCAAAATGTCAATTCTGGTCTTTTCAATCCAGGGAGATTACTGGTGTTTTCCTGAGTTTACCTTTCCTATTTCTCTGTCTGGGGTATTGTGGTGCTTACCTTCTTTTATTCCTTCACTGATTACAGTTCTATCCTGCATGTTTGCCAATGTCTGCAAACAGTATTTTATCTGTATTTTCTAGTTTTATAACTTTTTCTGAAAGGAGGTCAAGTCCACTACCAGTTATTCTATCAAAGTAGGAAAAATTTCATCTTGCATTTTTAATATACCAAATTTACAATATTTTATAATAAAATAGTCACTTATGATAGTCCATTGTTTTTATTTATTATTATTTGCTTTACTCAGTTTTATTTAACTGTAAAATAGACTTCCTGGAACCACCACCCCCATCCCCGCAATCCACATGGATTTCCCTGTGATCTTCTATGAGGTGTGAGCCTGGGAAGTAGCAGACAATAGCACCTCCTGCTCCAGCAAGAAACTCCCAGGCTCAAGGTGTGGCTTCCATTGAGGAGCCCAGGCTGGGGCCACGACTCTGAGTAACCTCTGTTGGCACATTACCTTCAGCTGTGAGCGGATCAGTCCTGCGGTATTGGTTGGGTGTTGGTTTGTGTGCGGACAAGAGGTGGTTGGTGGCTGGTGAAGGCTAATGGCAGAGTTATCTGCCTACTCTCCCCAGCCACCCCTGCAAGAAGCATGGAAGGGCATATACCAGTCAGGAATGCCCAGTACCTGGTTCCTTGCCTGGTCTGCTTTCTTCCAAGTTTGCCTGGGGCCTAACCCTGCTAGAGGCTATAGCACTTTACTAGCAAGGTCTGCCTTCTTCCAGCCCCTAGGCTGTGGGTGCTGTATACAAGTAGGAACTTCGTTTCCTTCACTTCCCTTTTAACCCCTAGTCAAAGCATTTCAGCCATTTGCTACTTCAATTTCTCCTGTGTTGGACAGAGGCTGGGGGCAGTGCCAGCCTGATTCTTCCCACCTACCTGCCATCTGTTCCCGCCTTCAGATGGATGGACAGTTTGCTGGCTGTTGATAGGAGTGGGGACTGGGCGGGGGCTTCACCTTCTACCCAGGGCTGGGCTGATCCCCCTACTGCAACTAGTTTTTGCTCTCCCATCCCCAGTTGAGGAGTTAAGAGGGTGCAGGCTGGGGTCAGGACAGGCTGCAGATGCTTGTGCCTATAGGGAGTTACTCCAACTCACCTATTCTGTCTAATCCCCCATGTCTTTGCACCAAGTCCTCCACCCCTCCAATTGGGAGGAGACTATTCACCACCTTGTGGTAAGGGACAACATCCTAAGGCTGGTGCCAGTAGTTATGAGTAGCTTACCACCCCTTCCCCTACAGTAACCTCTACCCCTTCAGGATGAGTCAAGGGAAAGTACTGGAGCTGCTGGGTATGAAAAGAAAGGAGGGAAAAAGCATAAAAGGAATACTATAATGTGAAGGTTTGTAAATAGTTCATGATGGTGTCGTGGCAGAGTCTGATTTCTATATAGAGGTAACTTTAAAAAAAAAATACCGTGCAAGATCTGTGCTCCTAGAGTGTGGGAAATGGCTTGCAGAGAGTGGCCCCCAACCTAGAAAGACAGTTGTGTTATTTGTTGAATTTCAGTAAAATGATTTATAGATCTTGAAAATAAATGAACAAAATAGACTTCTTATGTCAATTTTGACTGATTTTGTCAACATCTTTTATGTATACATATAAAGTATACATGTATAAATATGAATATATATGTGGGTGTATTTGTATGTGTGTGTATATATATACACATATATACATACATATCTAAAAATTGTGTGAAATTTTTATCCCACTAAAGACACCACATTTATTTTACCAACATTTCAATGAAAGTATGTATCAAGCCGGGCGCGGTGGCTCTCATCTGTAATCCCAGCACTTTGGGAGGCCAAGGCGGGTGGATCACGAGGTCAGGAGTTCAATGCCAACCTTGCCAAAATGGTGAAACCCCATCTCTACCAAAAATACCAAAAAGTGAGCTGGGCGTGGTGGCAGGCGCCTGCAATCCCAGCTATTCAGGAGGCTGAGGCAGAGAATTGCTTGAACCCAAGAGGCGGAGGTTGCAGTGAGCTGAGATCACGCCACTGCACTCCAGCCTGGGCGACAGAGCGAGACTCTGTCCCCGCCCTCACCAAAAAAAAAGAAAAGAAAAGAAAAAAGAAAATATGTATCAAATTAAAAAATGGGAGTTTGAATTGTCTCATGTACTGGTTGGGGGCTGGCTGCTGAGGTATTTGGCTCTTATAATACAGTTATAATGAGCATATGTGTACAGGTGTTTACATGGACATACGTTGTCATTTCTATTGAATGCCTAAAAGTTGAATTGCTGGAAACAAGGATCCTACCGTAATTACTCAGCATATATTTTTATAGAGTCTTCTGGTGGATTTGAGCAAGATGACTGAGTAGAATTGGCCAGGTGGAACAGCTCCCACAGAGGGATGGGGATGACTAGTGCACTCCTAACAAATATTCAGACGGGAAGGCTCGGAGAGTGAATGGAGGGAAGACACAGAAGCTAGCCTGAAGTGGGAGGAAGCTGGGAATCCTGCATGGCACTACCAAACACAGGGACTCATTCTGGGCTCCTAGTGACTCTGGGGCAGCCAATGACTTGAAGTGCCAAGGAGCAGCCCACTCTCCCCACAGACCTCTAGAATCCTGGCAGAAATAGACCCCTCTACAACTATAGACATTTGAGTTGGCAGAGAAAGCTGCTTAGAGAAATGGTAGGGGCAGAACTCCAGCCAGTGCAGAGCCCAGAGGGTTTAGTGTGGGAGCATCTGTAGTGGAGCATGGCCAGGGATGCCCATCCCTCACAGGCTCAACTTGTTGCCATAGAAGACTTTAGCACTGGGAGAGCTGTCAAACCTAAATTCTGCTGAGCAGTCTTGCCCATTAGACGAACCAGTCTGGCCTGAGTATCCCTTGTTGTACTGGCTTCTACTGAGGCCCCAGCTTGGTAATGCCTGCTTGCAGGGCAGCCTTGGGTGCCCAGGGTTTCTGCATTGTAGCTCCTGCACTGGTGGATTGTGCCTGACTGGCAGAGGGCTCCAATGGGGCGGCACCACAGCCATGCACCGGTCCGCTGTATCACTCCCCATACTACAGCTTTCTCCAGGCCCACTGCAATCCTCCACATCCCTTTGCCAGTGTGTGTATGCATGAGTTTTACCTTCCCTGCCCCACCAGCACACGTGTGTGTGTACCCTGACCTAGCTCTGCTGCTGCCTGCAGTGTACCGCATTCCCCTGTCCCACCATTGCGTCAAGACCTTAGCAGGCACAGAGCATCCCATGCCTGCTCCAGCCAACAAGCTGCCATTGTGGCAACACTGTGCCTGAGTGAAACTAGGCACCGAGAACAGTAGGCCCTTCTCCACCCTGAGAAGTCACAGAAGGTGCACACAGAACTGCACCTGCAAGTGTCCCAACCCCCTGTTAACATCACCACCAGTGTGACCATTCACATAGTAGACAAGGGAGGTTCCTTGCAATCGCAGGGCCATCCTGCCTTTACTGCTGCTGTGAATGCCCATGGGGAGACGAATGCCCTTGAATCCGTTACCACCCTGATGCAGATCATGAGTGTGCATTTCGCCGCCCTGCTGCTACTGCTGGCACATATGAACAACAGTGAATTTTACTGCCACCACCCTGTGAAATGCTTTGGAAGGCATCACCCATCAGAGTGTAGTGACCAGCAGTCCAGAAGCACATTGGCTCCCCCTAGTGCAGTGGGTTCCTAAACTCAAGGAGCCAGAGAAATAAATCAGGGCATGATACAAGTCCCCAAGGTTTAGAACACATAAGCCAAGAGTTGGGAGCTGAATTCTGGCCCCCTGAAGTCTTCCAGAAATGTAACCAGCAGACTGAATCCATCTTACACAATTAAACCCTCAAAGTCATCAAAAAAGATAAAAGAAAACAAGTCCAAAGGATAGCAATTTCAAAGATTAAACGAACATCAGCCCACAAAGATGAGAAAGAACCAGCACAAGAACAAGAACTCTGACAACTAAAAAAGCCAGAGTGCCTTCTTTCCTATAAACAACTGCACTAACCCTCCAGGAGGGGTGCTGAACTGAGCTGAGATAGCTGAAATGACAAAATGTGGATAGAAATGGAGATACTGATGTGCAGCAGTATGTTGAAACACAATACAAACAAGCTAAGAATTACAATAAAATGATACAAGAGCTGACAGACAGAATACTCAGTGTAGAAAAGAATGTAATCACCCTGATAGTGTTGAAAAACATTCTACATGAATTTCATATTGCAATCACAAATTTTAACAGCAGAACAGCCCAAGCTGATGAGAGAATCTCAGAGCTTAAAGACTGGCTTTCTGAAATAAGACAGTCAGACAAGAATGGAGGAAAAAAATGAAATGGAACAAACAAAACCTCTGACAAATACAGGATTATGTAAAGAGATCAAATGTACTACTCATTGGTGCCCCTGAAAGAGATGGAGAGAATGGAATGCAATATGTTGGAAAACATATTGCAGGATGTCATCCATGAGAACTTCCCCAACCTGGCTAGAAAGGCTGACATTCAAATGCAGTAAAGGCAGAGAATTCTAGTAAGATACTTCATTAGAAGGTCATTCCCAACACACATAATCTTCAGATTCCCCAAAGTCAAAATGAAAGAAAAAATGTTAAAGCTAGCTAGAAAGTTCACTTCACCTACAAAGAGAAGTCCATCAGACTAACAACACACCTCTCAGTAGAAACTCTACAAGCCCAAAGAAATTAAGGGGCAAATATTCAACATTCCCAAATAAAAGACATTCTAATCAATAATTTTATATCTAGACAAACTAAGCTTCAAAAGCAAAGGAGAAATAAGATCCTTTTCACAAAAGCAAATGCTGAGGGAATTCTTTACCATGAGACCTGCCTTACAAGAGCTCCTGAAAGAAGCACTAATGAGGGAAAGGAGAAATCACTACAGTCACTACACAAAAGCACACTTAAATACATAGAACACTAACAGTATAAAGCACCCACACAAAAAAGTCTGCATAATAACCAGCTAACATCTTGATGACACAATCAAATTCACAAATATCAATGCTAACCTTGAATGTAAATAGACTAAATGACCTAATTAAATAGCACAGAGTGCCAAACTGGATAAAGAACCAAGATTCAATGGTATGTGGTCTTCAAGAGACCTATCTCACACCCATAGGCTCAAAACAAAGAGGTGGAAAAAACTAGAAAGCAAATGAAAAAGAAAAGAAAAGCAGGGGTTGCCATCTTAATATCTGAAAAAAGAATCTAAACTCAAAAGGATAAAAAAAGACATAGAAGAGCATTACATAATAGTAAAGTGTTTAGTTCAACAAGAAGACTTAACTATTTTAAATATATATGCACCCAACACAAGAGTACCTAGATTCTTTAAAAAAGTTCTTAGCAACCTACAAAGAGATTTAGACTCCCACACAATAATAGTGGGAGACTTTAACAGCCCACTGATAATATTAGACAGATCACTGATTGAGACAGAAAATTAACAAAGATATTCAGGACCTGAACTCAGCATGGGATCAAATGAACATGACAGAATTCTCCATCCAAAAATAATAGAATATACATTCTTCTCTGTTATGGGAAGTCAGGGACCCCGAATGGAGGGACCAGCTGAAGCCATGGCAGAAGAACATAAGTTGTGAAGATTTCATGAACATTTATTAGTTCCTCAAATTAATACTTTTATAATTTCTTACACCTGTCTTTACTGCAATCCCTGAACATAAATTGTGAACATTTCATGGACACTTATCACTTCCCCAATCAATACCCTTGTGATTTCCCATGCCTGTCTTTACTTTAATCTCTTAATCCCAACATCTTTATAAGCTGAGGAGGATGTATGTTGCCTCAGGACCCTGTGATAATTGCGTTAACTGCACAAATTGGTTGTACAGCATATGTGCTTGAACAATATGAAATCAGGGCACCTTGAAAAAAGAACAGGATAACAGCAATGTTCAGGGAACAAGGGAGATAACTTTAAAGTCTGACTGTCTGTGGGCCAGGCGGAACAGAACCATATTTCTCTTATTACC